ATCGCAGCACACACTGCCCCAGCTAACCAATCGCAGCACACACTGCCCCAGCTAACCAATCGGAGCACACACTGGCCCAGCTAACCAATCACAGCACACACTGGCCCAGCTAACCAATCACAACACACACTGGCCCAGCTAACCAATCACACCACACACTGGCCCAGCTAACCAATCACAGCACACACTGGCCCAGCTAACCAATCACAGCACATTTCATATTTCAGAAGGCGGGCCTTCATTTGATACAGGAACTATTCGAGCCGTTCATGCCAGACTGAGGAGAGAGGTGTTGTAATAATGTAAATTATGTGAAAAATAATGTGTTTTTCGAACAACCTAGTATGAGAGCCTGTTCTAGTACACCCCCAAAACAAAATCAATACTTTGTAAAAGAGCATAATAGGACCCCTTTAAATACTTTATACATGATATACAGCTGCCTTTAAATTTAAGACCCTTGCAAGGGAATCAACATATTTGACAAAAACTGGCCAAACCCCTAGTGTACATGATCATAGAAACTAATATAATGATGATCAAATGACTGGTATATATTCAAACAATATGCCAGAATGTGCATCTTTCATAACCGCAAACTGGAACTCAGAATCGGCCTGCAAGATGGGGAATTTTGCCATACAAACTACATCCAGCACAGATTTTGTAGTTGCATACAAATAAACACACTCATATTCATATTCATTCTTCTCCCCTTTGTGAGTCAGATTGGTGTAGTCAGTCTTGAATCGGTTTCTAAACACACAGACAGGGTCAGCTCAAGCCCATGGATTACAGCGAGGGTTCTATTTAGCCTTCACCACTGCTTAGTAAGTATGTGTTTGCCCCCAGCCTGTCTCATTAGCAGGAAGATGGAGGGATTAACTCCAAATTTCGCATTCAATCCTGCCCAGGGGACAGATGGGTCAAATCTCTGTTGTCCTCAAAACACACACTTCCAAAAACACAGTCTGACACTCACTCTAAGTGTCTGTGTGTGACCCAGGGCAGAGCTGTCAGGGAACAGATTAAAACGTGAATTTGATTTTTACATTGTCTAATGGAAATGCGAGTGCTGCTACTATCTGTAAACCTTGCTAGGGTGGTTGCCAGGCTGATGCTTTGCAGTTGCTATGGTCATTCTGAGTGTTTTTTGCTAGGGAACAGCTTTTAACACTCAAAAGACAAAGGAAAACAAGAAATCGCATCATATGACCCCTTTAAGACATATTGATTGCTAACCAATATGGCACCAACACATCACACATCCCTAGTTTTTAGCACGCGGCTGTTTGGTTGCTAAGGTGTTCTGGGTGTTTGCTAGGTTTGCGAAAAAGATCCCAGCACAAGTCTGTACAATCAAAGACGATAGAATACCCAAGACATGTCACTCGTATAGTTTTGAATGGGGAAAAAATGCAACGCTCAATATGGCCGCTTTATCGAAGGAAGCCCTGCCTTCTGAGTAAAGAGCCTATCGCTAATCGGTAAAGTCATTGCATCACTGCAGCTGCCGTTAGAAGTCCCGGTTGCTCTAGAAACATTCAGCGTTCTGAGACGCGCGCTTAGGACTGCACATGCACACTGGCTGATCTAGCCTGAAAAAATTATTGGAGCATAAGAAACAACATTTATGAGATGGTTGTTGTCAGATTGCATTGGTGATTTCAAATATGAAATTTAATTGTAAGCCTAGCGAACGGTTTTGGAGAATTTGGAGCTGCACTTGCATGCCAGAGAGGCATTTCAAAGACGGTCGCCGGGTGAAATGACTTGCCTTAAAGGGACTTTGGTACAATATTCTGATCCTTACATATGATTCAGATTCTTCCTTCTATGTAAATTAACAGGATTTTGTTTTGTTGTGATAAAATAAGTCTGATAGCTTAGAAAAGCAATAGCACACCTCTCCTCAACAAGTCACACAATCTGAGGAATCATTTATGTCCAAGTTTAATATGTACTTAGGTTTTAAATTTATAAATTTTTTCAAATAATAATAGTGTTCAACTTGAATACAGTGCTTCAGATGGTATCAGTAAATTCATACATCATAGTCATGTGAATTTAATCATTACTTAACAAGAATAATTGCTCTCTAGATGCTTTCCAGATACAAATTGTACTAATATGATCATGTGTTCCTCAGTGACTAGATATAGCTAGTTAGAGATCTCTCTGCATATAAATGCTGTGATATTCTGCTTTGATTTGACATGATCAGATGACACACGCTACGTGGGCTCAGAGGAACCTACTCTCTGTAGTATTTCATTAGACGATGACCTGCCAATTTCATCTGCATGTTTAATGAGCGATATGAAAATCTGGAGCCTCGGCTTTTTGTAAATATAAAAATAACATAAGCTGTCAATTTGCTTAAAAGTTGCATTTAAGATCATCCTGTGACATTTGAGTAAAAATGGAAAATATTTCCTGCCCACATAATGAAACATCATTTAGAGCAGTGTTAATTTACTATAATTGAGATATAATTTCTTTAAATATTTTGTCTTTTCAGTTTTCATTTTAATTTGAGTTAAAGTTTCTTCAGTTAAAGTTTTTATTCATTTTTATTTCAGTTTAAGTTTTAGTTATTCTAGTACATCAGGTTAAACTAAATGAAAATGAAATGGATTGCTTAGGCAATATAATTATTGTTTTTTTTACTTCAGGGTAACATAATTAACCCAAACCAAACCAAAAATGAAGCTCTTGATCATGCAAATTCCTATTGGGATGACTCAGTTTTGCCTGTGAAATTTCATCAAGCAATGGTAAATGAGATCACACGTTTAGTCAAGGAGGTGATATGACATGTAACTCGCTCATTATGTCACTGAATATTACATCAGTGTCTCAATGATCAAGATTTGAGTCACAATACATATAAATTGCCCTCAGATCTAGCTCTCCCTCTCTTTCCTGTTTCTCCAACATTACCTTTTCTATTAGCTAATGAGCTCGTTTAGTAAGTAGAATGCTGTCTCTGCGCCGTTCCTGTGATGTACAGCCTACCATTACCCCAGCCTATTAGCTAATGTGTCCGGTGGAGGCCTTTAGTGGGTGGACAGGCCAACAGTGCAGAACTTCAGCGCTGCTGTATGGAGTCTCTCGCTAAAGGGAGACTGCTTGGATGACTGCTTGAGTGGGCAGGTGGGTGGAGGCGTTTAGCGGCAGCAGAGACACGCTAACTAACGGCAGAAAGTTCCAGGGTGAGAAACAGAAGCTCGTCATGGTAACAAGAGGAGGAGTGGGAAGTGAAATGTAAAGTTGGACAGCTGGAGCCTGCAGTGCCACCTGACAGAGATCAGTTCACATACAAGGTCTTTTTAATAGACCGGAGTTGTTAATGAAGCAGCAGATGTAATAGAATTGTGGGATATAAGTTCTGGCCTTTACTTGATTTTTTTTATTTTAATTTTATGTGTGCATGCTGAATAAAACTTACTGATCCAAACTTTTGAACATATCAATATTTGCTGAGAGAGAGAAAAAACCCCCCGTAAGACCTTCGTTCATCTTCAGAAACAATTAAATTAAGATATTTTTTATGGAATCTGAGAGCTATCTGACCCTGCATAGTGTAGCATTTGGACCAATCAGACACACAACTTTTGACGGTTGACCCTGAGTGGTCAGCTAAATATCTACAGTGGATCTAAAATATGAATAGTTAATTATAACTAGTTATGGTTAATTATTCATATTTCCTGTCATTGAGTTAAATTCGCTACAATAGACAGCAACGCAACTGAAATGATCCCAAGTCCAGAAACGTAGCAAGGAGATCTGTAAAATAATCCATGTGACATCAGTGGTTCATCCGCAATCATACGAAGCTACGAGAATACTTTTTGTGCGCAAAAGAAAAAAAAAACGACTTTATTCAACAATTCGTCTCCTCTGCATCACCCTGGTGCCATTTTGGAGAATATCCGCTGGACTTAAACAACGTATGCTGTTCTGTGTCAGCTGCATCATGCAGCATACGCTGTTTACATCCAGCGGATATTCTCCAAAATGGCACCAGGGTGAATAAAGTAGTTTTTTTTTCTTTTGCACACAAAAAGTATACTCGTATTCTATATTCTCGTATTCTAGTATTGTGTTTCTTTATTTGGTTGTGTTGTGAGCATTTGCGGCGCGTTTCTTTATTTGGTTCTCAGTTCAGTTTGGAGATTCAGTCAATCAACAAACCAGAAAAGGTCAACAGTCATTGAAGAGGAAGCCTAAGATATTTTTATTAGGGCAAATACTCAAATAAAAGACATTTTACAGACTATAGCCAAAGTAGAAGCCGTGTTTAATTTGACACGTTTAATTAGAAGTGCAGTCCACTCAATATGTCACACTGTTGTGGATATGGATGTCAATTATTCAGTTGGCAAAACATTTCAAAACAGAAATATTGAACTTCCATCACTCAGAGACTAATTTTTGTTTGTGTCAAACAACTTGACCCTTCTGAAATGCTGCCTGAAGTTTTTTCTGTTTTTGTTTTCCAATCAGCTCAGTTTTCATTTGATCTTGACTGTAGGTCTGAGACAGCAAGCAGAGTTTTTATTGTTAACTAAAATTAAAGCAACTAAAAGCGTTTTTGTTCATTAAAATAATGCTGAAACAAAATATAAATATTAGATGAAAAGCTTTAAATGAAAATAAAAATAAAGTTGCCTTGGCAATTAACATTAAGTTAATGCACTAAAATTATTAAATTAAATTCAATTAAAACACTGAAAATATTCAAATAAAGTTGTTTCGAAATATTAATAAGAAATTAATATTATATAAATAATAGTCAAATAAGACTGGGAGGCAAGATAGGTATGTCACATGTGGGTATATTATGTCACATCCGTGCCGCCTGCACACACGCACACACGCACACACATTCTGGATGGTGTCCAAATCAGGTCAGAGCAGCTACTGCAGCAGTCACCTTGCCTGCCCTTATTGTGGATTACCAGGAAGGAAAGGATAAGCACATTTCCAAAAGTCAGTATTTATCTTGCATGCCTTGGCTTCTACAGAGCAAGCTAAATCCTGACAACCAATAACATCTCATGCTCAGCACCTGTCTGCAAAAAACCCCCAAATGTCCAGGAGTGCCAGACACAACTGCAAATGCTGCTGGATGAAGCGTAATGATGCTGAAAATTCAGCTTTGCATCACAGAAATAAATTACATTTTAAAATATATCAAAATAGAAAACATGAATTTTGATTTTGCAATAATATTTCAAAATAATAATAATAATAAATCAGCTTTGGTGAATGCTTTTACTCTGACTTCCCTGCCTAAGAGTATTTTTCAATGTGAAATGAATATTCAATATTACTTATTATGTTACATATTCAATATTACTTGTTCATAAAACTTTACTTCAGGCTTTTTGTAACAATACTATATCAGGACCAGTTAATCTTTGCTTCTTAAAGCTACACTAAGCAATTTTTCCTCATTAATGTAACTTTTGAAAAAATATGTTTATATAACACTCAAATCAGATGAATACTCCAGGCATATCAGTAGCCTAATAAAAGCGGTTTCTTTTTACATGGAGTGAAGTGCTTAATGGGGGCTGTCCTATTGAGACCACATGATCAGATGAACACTACTTGCTTTATATTTGTAACCCCCATTATTGGACAATTTCACTCATGTTTTAAATAAATCATGGCTGACTGTGAAAAAGGAAATCTACAATGTTATTGGTAACAGAAAACGTTTGCGTTTATGCCGCTGCACTCACACCACTAGGTGTCAGTATACACCCAAGACAACTGCCATATCGCACAGTGCAACATTAACCAAAAATGACCGTGTGCACCTTTAATAAACAGCAAATTATATTGCACGTCTAAAGAACTTCTCTAAGAATACAATCTAGATTATAACCTTTCTTATTAAAATGGCATAGGCAGATACTGAAATTAGATCACCGAAACCCTCCTGCAATAGATCATGAACTAACAGGCACATGAAGGGACACCTCTCCTGGTCTCAAGACGCTTTTATCCACTTTGACAGACCTCTCACAGTCCAAGAGCACTCTGCAAAGAGAGGACATTTACACTGCCATGTGCTGGTGTGTGTTTGTATGTCAGGCTGTTTGATGTGTGTAGATGTGTCAGATAAGCCGCTTTGGGATAATGAATGAGAGGGTGATTGTAGCGTTCACTGGAACTGCTATAGAAAGGGTGGGGATTCCCTGCCAGAGGAGCGGTTCATTGCTGGGAAGAGGGAAGCCTCACTGATCACGGTGAAACCAGTAGGAACAGGACGCCTGTCTCCCAGCATTAGCATCACTCTAATGGGCTCATACATGCATGGCTGCATCTTGTCAACATACATGCAGCATGCTTATTATGCCAAAGCATAACGTAAGAGTGGGCTCATCCTGATACGCACACAAACTCACACAATAATAGAACATGAATTTGGATTTTATGAGATCTATATAAAAATCTGGCTATATAACAGGCATTTGTTTTAGACTTTTATATATCTATATATACATACACACTATTATTCAAGGGTTTGGGATCAGTAGGTTTTTTAATGTTTTTGAAAGAAGACTCTTCTGCTCACCAAGGCTGCTGTTATTTGATCAAAAATAAAGTTGAATACTGTTAAAATAACTGTTATTATTTTAATATATTTTAAAATATAATTTATTCCTGTGATGGCAAAGCTGAGTTTTCAGCATCATTACTCCAGTCTTCAGTGTCACATCCTTCTAATATACTGATTTGGGATTCAAAAAGCATTTCTTATTGTTAATGTTGAAAAAAGTTGTGCTTCTTTGTGAAATATAATGTAGAATAGAATGCTCAAAAGAACAGAATTTATTTGAAATAGTAGTCTTTTTTAACCTTATAAATGTCTTTACTTTTACTTTTTGCTCAATTGAATGCATCCTTTCCTGAAAAGAGTGATTAAAAAATTTATTAATTTTAATTTCACAATGTCTCTATCAAAAGTTAACTTTAAATAAAATTTAAATAAACAAATAATCATATATTCATATTTTTGTGAGCCCAAATATTCAAAAACAATATTACTGAAAAATACCCATTCATATCTCTGGACCAGTGTTTTTTGGGAATTGATTGGATTAAGAAATGTTGGCATTACATGCTAGAAAAGACCCAGGTGGTCGAGGGCAGGAGCTAAAAATAAGAGATCTTAACAATGCCAGTCGCAAAAGAAAGTCATTAAAGAGGCAGATAAAATATTGCAAAGACAAGCATTTTTTTCTTTGGAATACACCGAGACCAGAAACATGTATTAACAAAACAGATTTGATTTCATGTTTACTTGGAGATAAACAAGTTATTTTTGTCTGTCAAAGCTTCTGGTCTACATTCATTTTCACGCTAAATAAACAATAAAGCCTCAATCTTAAAAAACTCCTATTACTGATTTTACAAAATGAGGATTCATCCTGGTGTTAAAATGTGCTAAAACAAGTGACAGAAGCACCGATATTTCACTGATTTCATCCCTACTACACGAGACTCTCAAAACTGTCTGACAGTATTTCAGTGGGCAGTGATTTCGGTCTCTAGAGGAGGTTTTACTCTATAAGCCCACAAAGCAATAGTTCAATCATGTTAGGTGGAGAGCTGCCAAGGCCTTTGACAAAAAGCTAACAAGCCGAGTGTGCCCAGAGGGGCTTATATAGAAGGTATAAAACCTCTACATTTAATCTCGGTGGCAACTGAAGCTTCAGTTTTAGCGCACACACACACACATACACAGGGAACACAATCTAGCCCAAACCCTTGACTGACATTCATGCATTGTGTGCACATGATCCGTGCTAAAACTGACAACCCAGACCACACAAACACAGCGCTGCACACCAATGCACACATTCAAACAGTCAGACTCATTGATACTATTAGAGTAAGAGCATCAGGAGGCAGCGCAGATTAAGCATTACATTAGAAATGAGTGCATGTGAGTGCACATGGCTTACAGATGGACTGGAGCGCGTGAGAGAGCGAGAGAGAGAGAGAGAGAGAGAGATTCCACCTGATTAGATCACGTGGATTAAACGAGACACAACGTCCACCCTTCCCCCCCTCATGAGTAATCATGTCAGTCAGTCACACACGCTCATTCGTGAATGCTGGCATCTCACCAAACATCACGCAAATGTTGCTGAAGTCACCTAATCCTCGTCTTATTAAAGAAAGAACCCCTTTCATGGTACTCAGCCTCCCAAATATCTCCCACGAAACACAACATTCCTGTTAAACCTTTTAAAGGGACATGCACACAAAAATTGCACAGCGAAATCCACTTAAAATACATTGACTAGCTTCCAGTCGCATGAAAGACAGGCGGATGGATACAATGCAGCAGGTCACCAGACATTTTTTCATCTTTTTCAGTCACTCATGGTCATTCGATGCCTAATATGTCCAATCCCTATTAAATTTTTTTGAACACCTGTAGTAAACAAACAAACGTCTGAGGGCATACAGCCTCAGGAGCGTGACCAGCATGCACCTGTCTGTGGCATGCATGAATGCTCACACGCAGACTTTTCTGGACCAAAAAACATAAATCTTCATGTATATCGAACGTGGTTGCACTAAGATATCAAAATGTGCTATTTTGAATTCTAAGCTATAAAAAGCCATTGTGTTAGAGGAACAGTACAAAATTTTAATTCTGTAACAGCTTACTCACAGTCATGTCATTTCAAACTCATATGACTATCTTTTTTTTTTACAGTTTACAGACTGTGCTGGATGCTCTTTTTCTACGCAATGGAAGTGAATGGCGGCTGGACAAAAAGGGCCGATAACAGCCTTATTAAATTGGTCAGCATGCTTTATGTGCTGCATTAAAACACTTTTGTGACACCTTTGTACATTTTTAAAGAGTTGCAAAGTAGGGTGGTTTATATGACCAAAATCTATTTATTTATTCATTTCACAATAACATTATATGTCAAAATATATTAGGCTGCTGTTACTTTAAGACCTAATGCATGACTCCAACATTTTGACAGACGTCGGATTTCTTTCCCAACTGTTTACATTCATTTTGTATATTTGAACATTCAAGCGCAAAAGGGAGCTGAATTCAATATTGCATGCCGTCTAAGAGTCAGCTTGAGTTCAGAAAATTATGACTTTTTTGGGATTATCACACTTAAAGGTAAGGTCACAGAAGCAACATTTTTGAGAAATCCAGCTGGGAAAAAATTGTACTTTCAAGCCAAGCAGCTTTCTGTTGCTCAACCAGACGAATTTGAGTGACCATCTTGAACCCATTGTGACATCTGTGTGGGGAAACCTCATAACATTTATGATAACATGGATTCCGACAGAAATGACTGATGAAATAATTGAAATGAATGATTTCACCTGCAGAAAAATGGTAAATGGGACGTACCATAAGATTTTAACATCAAGCATGTCTCATGCTTTATATTTTTTCATTCGTG